GCTGGCTCAGGAATTCTGGGAGTTGAAGTCCACGAGTCATAAAAGAGCCAAGGTTGCCTACCCCTGGTCTAGGAGAAAGGTAAGATCAAGTTTGTTTTATACAGGAGCTTTACTCGAGATGATTTCATGGATGTCACTATGAGGTTTTCTTGCCAGCCATACAGAAACGGTTTGATATTGCTTCGTTTTGAGATGGTTTTTCAAACTCCCTTATCAGCTGTCATATTCCTGCTGGTGTCCCATCCAGATCAACAGGACCCTGTTAAACAAGCAGGGTCTGATGTCTGCAGTTTGCTCATGGCACAAAATCTTTATCTCTTAAGTGTTTGTCAGTTTCTCTCACAGCCTGCCCAAAAGGTCTCATGGTAGGAAAGATCTGATTCTGATTAGAAGCTTCCCTCCTTTCCACAACTTGTGCAATCCACCCTCCCAACTATCTTGACTGGAAATTGGTTTGAAATAGATATGCGTTAATTGTTGGCAGTCTGTGGGTTTGTGAGCAAATGGAAAGAGTAAATTTATTGCCAACTTCTCTTTTGCCATCAGTTCTCACAACTCTTTAAGGGCTGCTGCTCTCCAGCTCTCTGAAATATGTAGATGATAGTGCCACATCATGCAATAGGTCATAAATGTGAAATGATTTATATACTCAAAAGCCCTGGATAAACGTAAGCAGATATTAGCCAGGTGCTCATAAAGCAAGTCCAATATCTTATTCCCGAGTAGACGTTCTCATGTATTTTTAGCCTGTGACCTCTGTAAGAAAAATGTAAGCACCAATGTGAAAAGCTCATATATTATAATGGAAGAAATACTATATAAAAAGAGAGCATATGTGTGTTTTCAAAGGGCGTTATTCCCTCATTTTTGCTGCCTCTATATTTTCAGCTGTCGATCTCAACTAAGTATTTGGCGGATTTCTTTTCATGTTTCATTTTCACCTCTTTTAAGAAGAGACTGGACAGCCATTTGTCCGAAATGGTATAGGGTTTTCTGCCTGAGCAGGGGGTTGGACTAAATGACCTCCAAGGTCCCTTCCAACTTCTTCTTCTTCTTCTTCTTCTTCTTCTTCTTCTTCTTCTTCTTCTTCTTCTTCTTCTTCTTCTTCTTCTTCTTATTATTATTATTATTATTATTATTATTATTATTATTATTATTATTATTATTATTATTATTACTACTACTACTACTACTACTACTACTACTATATACTACTACTACTACTACTCTGGGTTAAATAACTTTATTAGCTTCTGTTTCATTTTCAGTATCGAAGTTCAAATCTGCACTACAGGTAGTTCTCGACAGTTGATTTAGTGACTATTTGAAGTTACAACGGCACTGGAGAAAGTGACTTACGACCTTTTTTCACACTTACGACTGTTGCAGCATCCCCATGATTGCGTGATTAAAATTCAGATGCTTGGAAACTGGCTCGTATTTATGACGGTTGCAGCGTCTTACGACCTTCTGACGAGCAAAGTCAATGGGGGAAGCCAAATTCAAGACAAAATGAGATTCTTTCCCTCTTCCAAGCATTTTGCTAGCTAAGCCTTTAAAACAGTGTTCTTCATCCAACCTGGACAACTTTAGGAAGTGTGGACTTCAACTCTCTGAATTCCTCAGCCTGTACGCCTTTGGGTCTCAGCCTTGCATTAACAGTTGTTGGTTTTTTTTCTTGGCAGGGGTCCTGCATAGTGGCAGCTCAGATTTTGAGACAGTGGACGATCTATTTGAAGCCGTCGGCGAGCTCTTGCAAGACGTGTCCCGAGACTCGAAAGATGACATGGACATCCGTGCAATCTGCCAGCGTATGTTCAACACCCTTCATCTGTAAGTTGCCTCTGATTGAAAGGGGTTCATGAAGAACAGAACAGATAAGCTTTCATTTGCGATGATGATGTAGTACAGAGGTAGTCAACCTTGGCTCTTTTATGACTCGTGGACTTCAATTCCCAGAATTCCTGAGCCAGCTTAGCTGGCTCAGGAATTCTGGGAGTTGAAGTCCACGAGTCATAAAAGAGCCAAGGTTGACTACCCCTGATGTAGTATGTAAAGCAGCCACTAGAGGTCCAGAATCTGCCAAGACCAATGATGGCGAACTTTTTAGAGACTGAGTGCCCAAACTGCAACCCAAAACCCACTTATGCATCTCGAGTGACGGGTGGGCGTGGCCCATTGGGTGGGCGTGGCTGCAGTGGTAACGGCAGACTGGGTGGGACTAAAAAGTTCAATCAATCAATTCCAACTTTGCAAGAACTTTTTTTTCCCGCAAGATGTTGAAATTGATTGAACCTTTTATATTTTTTTTGCACATGGTGGCGGAGGCCTAAAGCGAAAAGGTTTTATAAAACCCAGCTGAAGGCCTAGGACTGGGGCGACGACATGCGTGCCCTCAGAGAGGGCTCTGAGTGCCGCCTCTGGCACCCGTGCCATAGGTTCGGCACCACTGGCCAAGACCCTTTGGGAAGAACTTTAGAATCCAAGCCACATTTACATGTTATACCAATAGCATTTAGGCTCGTATATCACCCCGTAGCACTTTACAGCGCTGTCTGGGCGGTTTAGAATATAAGCATTATTTGCCTATTTCCCCCAACCAACCTGGATCCTCATTTTACCAATCTCGGAAGGATTGAAGGCCGAGTCGACCTTGAGCTGGTCAGGATCGAACTGCAGGCCGTGGGCAGAGTTTACCTGCAATACTGCACTTCAATCACTGCGCCACCAGGGCTTATTTTAATTTATGTGCCAAGGAAACCAGGATACCCGTTAGGATGGTACTGACTGCAGAAGTCTACCCAAATGCGAGAGAGGTTTACAATGATGGGATGAGGAGCTGGGGGAAAAAATCTGGAGTGTCGTTAAGTAACAACTCTTGTATCTGGACAGTGACAATGAAAACTCTCCGAGCAGCCGGCAGGTTCTCCTGGATGCCCCAATTCAGCTTTCTAAGATCGCTGACAATTATGGTGAGTAGTGTAGCAGTGAAGCCTCTGGCATTTACATGGCTCAGAATGGAAGAACTATGTGGATCCTATTCATTTCTTTACCTATATCAGGGGTGGGCAACCTTGGCTCTTTTATGACTGGTGGACTTCAACTCCCAGAATTCCTGAGCCAGCATGGCTCAGCTTGGAAACCTCTCCCTTTCCCCTCAGCATGGCTGGCTCAGGAATTCTGGGAGTTGAAGTCCACAAGTCATAAAAGAGCCAAGGTTGCCTACCCCTGACCTATATCAACCAGCTACCATTGAGAGGCATGTACTTTCCTTCTCTTGGGATTGTATGCTTTGAAAAGGATCCCACAAAATTGCTTCCAGGAAACAACCCAAGCTTTTCAAGACTGCCAAATAAATCTTGGGGGGGGGGGGGTAAATAAGCTAATCCTTGCCTTATGATCACATTTAAGCTTGGAATTTCGATTGTAAGTCATTGCAGTTATAAATTGAGTCATGTGTGACTGGACTTGATTTTACAACTGTTTTTATGAAAAGCAAGTTCTGGAAACAACAAGAATTATAAGCGGTGGGAGAAGCAGGGGAGGATTTTACACAGATTTTGAAACACACACCAACACACACACGCTTGATGTGGCTGCCATGTTCCAGCATGCCAAACCTAGAAATATCAAGGTAAGACAGAGTAGGGTGACCTGTTAAATATCTGATGTGATAAATGCATCAGTTAAGTTAATGTTTCCATATTTATTGCCTATGACAGTGTTTCTCAACCTTGGTCACTTGAAGACGTCTGGACTTCAACTCCCAGAATTCTGCAGGGCTGGCTCGGAAATTCTGGGACTTAAAGTCCAAATGTCTTTAAACGGCCAAGGTTGAGGAAACACTGTCATATGCATTTTCTTATAGAATAAGCGGGAAAAGGATCTGAACTCATGCTGGGATTCTTGAAGCAAGAATTTTTATTTATTTACTAGCTGTACCTAGCCATGCGTTGCTGTGGCTCAGTCTGGTAAAAGCGTGTGTTGCTTTTACGTCCAACAGGTGGCGCTGTTTTTCAAAAACATGTTTTTACCTGTCACAGGTGTGACATCTATATAATATAGGTATATAAAAACACGCGCATATTCGAATGCAACGTTGTGTCAAAATTTCAAAGCAATCGGTGAAGAAATTTTGGAGATTTAAGATTTTGAACAAACGAACATTTATATTTTTATTTATATAGATTTATTTTGTCGGTTGCAGATTCTAACTTGGACTTGTTGCCAGGACTGCTGTTGAAGAGAGATCAAAGTTCGGTAAGGGTACCATTCACGACAGTTTTTGTTACTATTGATCCCTAACAATTGAGTCTGTGTAGGTTTCAAAGCTGGGTCTCTCACACTCTGGAACACGGTGGAGAACCTCTTAGTTGCACCGGCTAGTATTGGTTCCTACCGTGGGATGCTGGGAGCTCCAAAACCATCTGGAGATGCACCAGCTCCCAAAATTTGCTTTGGGGCTCCAGGTAAACAGCTTATTTTCGCTGTCGTGCTTTGGCCTTTATTATCCACAGAAACAGAATTTAGTTGCGTTGTCATCCTTGTAATCGCAATACAGGTGGAGGCCCTCCCCCCCCCAAAAAAACCCCCAAACAACCCCCAAATCAAACTCCTTGTAATAAGAGCAGACCAAATGCAGGTAGTCCTCGACTTACGACCACAACTGAGCCCCAACATTTCTGTTGCTAAGTGAAACAGTTGTTAAAATGAGTTTGGCCGCATTTTGTCACCTTCCTTGCCACAGTTGTGAAGTGAATCTGGCTTTCCCCCATTGACTTGGCTTGTCAGGAGGTCGCAAAAGGTGATCACGTGACCCCGGGACGCTGCAACCGTCGTAAATGTGAACCAGTGGCCAAGCGTGTGAGTTTTGATCACGTGACTACAGGCATGGTGCAATGGTTGTGAGTGTGAGAAAAGGTCACGAGCCACTTTGTTTCAGTGCCGTTGTAACTTCAAACAGCCGCTAAGCAAACGGTTGTAAGTCGAGGACTTACCTGTCACCTGCTTATCTTCTTTTAACTTCACCTCACATCCTCTGCCTGGCTGCTGGCAGGTATCTCTGCTATTTGCTTTTGCTGTCCTTCTCCTTGCTTTGCAGATGGTGAATGCCAAAAAGTTGGAGAAAGCCGAGGCCCGCCTTAAAGCGAAGCAGTGCAAGAAGCAGGAGCGAGATTCCGTCAAATCTGGGAGCCCATTGTGAGTAAAGGGCGGTCATCTTTGTACGGGGCACCTGTCTCTGAACATCGGGAGGATCTGCCAAGAACTAACTGCAGCAGATTCAATTTCTTAATGCCCAGGTCTTTCCGCTGGTTACGGGGAAGGAAATACAGGAGACCAGGGTGTGGCTGATATAACAGAGGATAGAGTAGAAGAGAGTGGAATGGAAGGGGAATAGGGAATAGAATAAAATAAGCAATAGAGAATAGAATAGAATAGAATAGAATAGAATAGAATAGAATAGAATAGAATAGAATAGAATAGAATAGGCAACAGGGAATAGAATAGAATAAGCAGTAGGGAATAGAATAGGAATGGAATGGAATAAAACAGAACAGAACAGAATAGAAGCTGGAAGGGACCTTGGAGGTCTTCTAGTTCAGCCCCCTGCTCAAGCATACCGTTTCAGATAAGTGACTGGTCTGGTCTGGTCTGGAAAGGCCTCTGCAGCCGAGAACCGAGCTACGGATCGAATCCATAGCTCAGTTCTCAGCTGCAGAGGCCTTGCACAAAGGCTTCTGACTGAAAAATGCAGGCCGGAACTCCATTCTCAGCTGCAGAATGAAGCTGCTCCTTCGGCCGCAGAAAAAGTGGGCTGGCGAGGCAAGTAATAATAATGATGAGGATGATGATGGAACACGTGTTCTGCCTTGTCTTCATGGTTGTTTCCAATTTTCTTCTGGCTGTGCCAGGGTTCTGGAAGAAGCATCCGCCAGCCAAGCTGCCAGTAAGAAAGAGAACCGCCTAGAACTGTCGGGCAAGAACAAGTCCTACGACGTACGCATCGAAAACTTCGACGTGTCCTTCGGCGAGCGGTGAGTCTCCACGTTCAAAGAGTCGTGCTCTGTAGCATCTTTTGATTTGGCGATTTAGACTTGTTGGAGCGTAGCCCCGTAAGCGAACTGGTGGTTACACCTGGTAAGCTGACTCGTGGTTACACCAACCCAAACTTCATGGCAGAGGAAAGACGTTAGTATTTCTGCTGAACAGAGCTGAGTATCGGATAGCATTAACGCCGGATTTTGAAAAAAACATTTATTTAAAATTACGATAAGCGTTTAGGTCAGGGGTAGGCAACGTTAGCTCTTTTAGGACTCGTGGACTTCAACTCCCAGAATTCCTGAGCCAGCATAGCTGGCTCAGGAATTCTGGGAGTTGAAGTCCACGAGTCCTAAAAGAGCCAAGGTTGCCTACCCCTGGTTTAGCCCCAGGGCTTAACGGCCAGAGAAAGAAACTAAGGAAAGACCCACCCGAATGGATCAGGCAGTTAAAAATACAGTAGTCCTCGAATTACAACAGTTCATTTAGTGACTGCTTGAACTTACGACGGCACTGGAAAAAAAAGTGACATAGGACCGTTTTCTAGACTTACGACCACTGCAGCATCCCCATGGTCCCCTTGATCCGAATTCAGACCCTTGGCAACTGGTTCATACTTATGACGGTTGCAGTGGCAAGGGGTCTTACGACTTCCTGACAAGCAAAGCCAATGGGGAATCCAAATTCACTTAACAGCTGGTTTTACTAATTTAACAACCGCTGTGATTCACTTAACTACTATGGGGCAAAATTCACTTAACTGCCTCAAGAGATTCTGGGCTCAGTCGTGATCGTAAGCTGAGGACTGCCTTTAGCAGTGGAGACTTGCAAGACTCTTTTAATGTTAGCCCAACAATAAACTAGAATTGACTCATGTAGCTTCCTTATCTGGTTTACATGGAAGGGCTGACATAATGGGGACTTTCTAGACAATGTTGCTCTATATCAGTGATGGCGAACCTTTTAGAGACCGAGTGCCCCAAAACTGGCCCCGCCCCGCTCCACCTCCCTGCTCCGCCCCCACTCTGCCCCCCCGCCCCGCCTGCCCACAGGACCACTCACCGCCTCCAGGGCCCGCCACAAACCGGCCAGGCAGCCCAGGAGCGCTATGGCGGCCACACCCTCTGCCCGCGCCCTGCAGCATCAACTGTGCATGATGGGGTGTGAGGGCAGAGTCTTGTCTACGCTGCCTGGCTGCCATGTCCTTGGCTGCGCTGCTCCGGGTGGGCCACGCTCGAGGGTGACTCTCCTTCAGGGGAGCGGCTGGAGAGGAGGGGGTCATGGGAGGCGAGGCTGGAGCAACGGCACGTGTGCCCACAGAGAGGGCTCCGAGGGCCGGCTCTGGCACCCGTGCCATAGGTTCGCCACCGCTGGGTTAAGGTCTTATGCAGCCTCTCCTTATTACTGTTATCTCAGCACAACACTTAGTGATGAATCACAAGAAAATGGCCATTCTCCCCTAAATTCCCAGAGGAATTTATATTAAATGTGTGTTATGTATGTGTACACTTTGAGAGGAAGCAACTAAATTTCATTTTTAATGTGTGCCGTTGTGCCCACAGGAAAAAATGACAATAAAGGTTATCTCTCTCTGTCTCTCTCTCTCTCTCTCTCTTTCTCTCTCTCTCTCTCTCTCTGTGTGTGTCTGTCTATCTATCTATCATCTATCTATCTATCTATCTATCTATCTATCTATCTATCTATCTATCTATCTATCTATCTATCTATCTATCTATCTATCTAGGTTCGCCACCACTATATTCTTGCAATTGTAACTCTGTCCATCTGGCCCAGGTGCAGTTGTCACCTCACCTGGCACAAATGAGGTTTCTAAAGATGGGTTCTCAAAAACGTCCCCGTTGTTTTATACGCAGTGTACAGTTGTCCTTTTCTTTCTCCTCCTCCAGAGTCCTCCTCACAGGAGCAGACCTGAACCTGGCCTACGGCCGGCGATACGGCTTGGTAGGTCGGAACGGGTTAGGCAAGACCACGTTGCTGAAGATGATTGCCAGCCGCAATCTGCGCATCCCCTCGCATATCAGCATCCTTCACGTGGAGCAGGAGGTGGCCGGGGACGAGACGCTGGCCCTGCAGAGTGTGCTGGAATGTGACACGGTTCGCGAGGGGCTGCTGAAGGAGGAAAAGGAGCTGACCGCCCGGGTTAACTCCGGAAGGTAACCTTGTTCCCAAGGAAGGCCATCTTAATTCAGATGTTAGTTTGGCCACCTACAAACTACCATGCTGCTTTTCTGTCTTTTTTTTTTTTTCAGGGCAGTAGGCACAGAAGGGGCTCGACTGTCCGAAATCTACGCCAGGCTAGAAGAGATTGAGGCAGACAAGGCCCCAGCAAGGTAAAATGAAACTCTGTTAAGAGCAGATACGGTTCTGAATCGACAGGCTCGGTAGTCGGTGAATTCTGGCAAAACGGCTGACTTGCAAAAAGATCCAGGTCTAAAATAGCGAAATCTGATGCATACGAGCCTGTGGATAACATGTGGGTGGGAAAAGGCCATTTCTCCATCAACCAAGAGCGAGACATTTCCATCAAGGACTCAAAATTTCCTAAATTCCGAGTGAAAATTGGCTGCTTCTCCGGTTCTCTAAAGCAGAGGTCCCCAACCTTTCGGGCACCAGGGACCGGTTCCGTGGAGAGAGGTTTTTCCGCGGACCGGAGGGTGCGTGGTTTTGTGTGCTGCCTGCATCCCCCGGATGGGGCTTTGCTTGTTTGTGCAGATTGGTTGCGGGCATGCCACGGCCCGGTACCGGTCCATGGACCAGGGATTGGGGACCCCTGCTCTAAAGAAAAAGAGTACAGGTACTGACGAGGGAGGACGTGATAGCAGTGTTCCAATATCTCAGGGGCTGCCCCAAAGAAGAGGGAGTCAAGCTATTCTCCAAGGCGGCTGAAGGCAGGACGAGAAGCAACGGGTGGAAACTGATCAAGGAGAGAAGCAACCTAGAACTAAGGAGAAATTTCCTGACAGAACAATTAACCAGTGGAACAACCTTCCTCCAGAAGTGGTGAATGCTCCAACACTGGAGGTTTTTAAGAAGAGACTGGACAGCCATTTGTCCGAAATGGCGTAGGGTTTCCTTCCTGAGCAGGGGGTTGGACTCGATGACTTCCAAGGTCCCTTCCAACTTTTTTATTATTATTATTATTATTATTATTATTATTATTATTATTATTAACCTTGACTTACAACAAGTTGAGCCCAAAGTTTATGTCGCTAAGCTAAGCAAAACAGTTGTGAAGTGAGTGGCGCCCTTTTTTTTATTACCTTTTTGCCACAGTTATTAAACAGATCACTGCCCTCGTTAAATGAACATTGGCAGTTATTAAGTGAATTTGGCTTCCTCCATTGACTTTGCTTGTCGGACACCGACCGGGGAGGTTACAAATGGTGATCACATGACCCCAGGACAGTTCAACTGTCATAAATACCTGCCAGTTGCCAGTTGCGCTTGAATTTAAGGGTAAAATGGGGTCAGGGTTGGGATTGGGGTCTAGGTTAGGGTTGGGATCAGGGCTGGGGTTAGGGCTGGGGTTTCCCCAAGTAACATTTTTAATATTTAGCAAACAGCATATTGTCTGGGTACATATATTTATTTTTATTTATTTTTTTTAATAAATTTTTATTTTTTAAACCAACAAGACAAAACAAAACATAACACACATACACACACAGTGTGTACTCCTCCTTTTTTTTTTTTAACAGCAATTTCGTAACGGTAATCTTCTATTATTTACATTTTCCCCCCTTATTCTTCTTTAGATAAATTTGTCCTTGTTGTCCCGTTGTTTCTTGTTTGCATTTTTCTTCCTTCATACTATACTTCATACTAAAAATAATACATATTATAATTACTATACATTATTATACACACATTTTCCACTTTTGACCTTTCCACATTTATTCTCCTCTATTACAGTATTTCTAGTCTCCAACCAGTCGTACCACTTATTCCATATTAAATAGTACTCTGTGTCTTCCTTTTCTTTTAACTCTTTTGTTAATTTGTCCATCTCAGCACAGTCCAAGATTTTTCTTATTACTTCTTCCTCTGAACTGAATTTTTCCAAAACTGTGCGTATGCTATTCTTGCTGCCGTTATTATATGTAGAATTAAGTACCATATTTCTTTACTATATTTTCTGTTTAAAATACTGGGTACATATATTTAAACAGCAATAATAGATATAATACTAAGTGATAACAATAAATATGGTTAATTCTCTTAGACAACATTAGTTAATCACTCCATGTCGTCCTTCTTACTAGTATGCATTCAAAGTTACATATCACACTCCTTTCCCTCTGAGTCGTTTCTGTAGCCCTTGATAAAAATTATCCCATGTTCTAAAGTAAACTGAATTTTCTTTCTCTTTAATCTCTAAAGTCAATCTATCCATTTCGGCACACTCTAATTTTTTTTTAATTAATATTTCTTCAGTTGGTAAGTTTTCATTTTTCCAATATTGGGCAAATTCTTGCTGCTGTCAATACATGTAATATTAGATATCCGTTCTCCTTCTCGTAGTTAGCTCCTATTATTCCTAACAGAAAACAGTTGCGCCTGAATTTTGATCAGCTGAGATGGCAGGGCTACAGTGGTCATCAGTGTGAAAACCAGTCATAAATCACTTATTTCAGTGCCGTTGTAACTTCAAAGGGTTACTAAAACAAAAGGTTGCAAGTCGAGGGTTAACCTTTTTTCATCTGAAATCGGGAGAACGGACTTGAGGTCTTCCTGAAATCTGATTTGAAGAGCGTTGTGGAAGAGCAGCCTGCCTGCCTGCCAGACCAACCCATTAGTTATTTTAGCTTTTCCACCTATGGGAACCCCAGAGGCAGAAGGCTTTCGTGAGGAACGACAAGAATGTCCAGTATTGGAGCCCTGAGGTGTCCTGCTCAGCTGCTCTTCCTGCAGTTTGATAGATTTTTCCATATTCGTTTGAAGTGCTTTGATGAAGGAAGCATATGTGGCTAGTTAAAAAAAAAAAAAAAGGTAAAGGAGTCCATGTAGGTCTTACTCTGCTACCGTGTCTCCCGAAAATAAGACCCAGTCTTTGTTTGTTTGTTTGTTTGCCTCCAAAAGAAGCAACAGGTCTTGTTTTCCGGGGGGGGGGCTTTTCCACTCACCTCCGGCACCAACAGCCCTACCCAGCCGGCCCACTTCTTTCTGCAGCTGAGTATGGAGCTCCGGCCTGCATTTCACAGTCAAAGCCCTTTCCAGAAGGCTAGGTCAGGGGTCGGCAACCTTAAACACTCAAAAGAGCCACTTGGACCCATTTCCCACAGAAAAGAAAACACTGGGAGCCGCAAAACTCGCACGCGCGCATGCTGGAGGAGGGGGCTTGATTGAAGTGTTTAATTAAAAAGAAATAGAGACTGCTGTGCATGAGTTCTCTGTCTCTCTCCCCTCCCTCCCTCTGTCTCTCTTTCCTCTCTCCCCCCCTCTCTCCGATCTTCTGCTCACCTGGCCAGCTGGCCTCATGCTGTTCTCCAACAAGCTGACACACATTCTTATTGGGCTGGCTCTCTCCTGCTCTTGGTCTGCCAGTCCTCCTCCCCCACTCAGTGTGAGTGTGTGTGTGAGAGAGAGAGAGAGAGAGAGAGAGAGAGAGAGAGAGAGAGAGAGCTGCTGCTTCCTGCGGAGACGCAGCAAAGGCAGGAGCCCCACCCAATAAGCTTGTCAGCTTGTCGGAGAACAGCGTGAGGCCACTCTCTTTTTTACACAGAGAGAGAGAGAGAGAGAAGGGAAGCGCAAGTGCCTCTGTCTCTGTCTCTTTCTCTGCAAATGATGGAGGAGGACTGGGAGCCGCAGGAGAAGGCTCAAAGAGCCACATGCGGCTCCAGAGCCGTGGGTTGCCGACCCGTGGGCTAGGTCTTACTTTCGGAAAAACACGGTAGTCGTTGCCGACTACAGAGGGTGGTGCTCACCTCCATCTCAAGGCCATTGAGCCAGTGCTGCCCGAAGACATTTCCGCGGTCAGGCGGCCAGCATAATGTCGCAGAGCACTGTTACCTTCCCACCGAAATGGTACCTATTTATCTACTTGCACTTGCATGCTTTCAAACTGCTAGATTGGCAGGAGCTGAGGTAAGGACGGGAGCTTACCCCATCACAGGACGCTCGGGTCTCGAACCTGGGCTGCCAGCTTTACAGCTGATAAACCCAGCATCGTAACCCCTGAGCTACCAGGTCGCCCTTTGTCATACAGCATCACAGTCTGGTTTGGAAGCATCACTGCTTCAGACAGGAAGGCGGTGCAGAGAGTGGTGAGGATGCCCGAAAAGATCATTGGCTGTTCCCTCCCTCCCATCCAGAGCATAGCACAGAAGCGTTGCTTGAGCAGGGTCCATAAGATCATCTGGGACATGACACATCCTCTCCACGACCTGTTTTCCTTGTTACCTTCTGGGAGGAGGGGGCTCTGTGGTATCTGAAGCAGAACATCCAGATTCAGCCATAGTTTCATTCCATACAGCATTAACCTTGTGAACTCTCAAGCTTCCTCCTTCCATTATATATTCAAGACGGACAGTATTTAATATTTATTTGTTACGTATATGTAGGGGTGTGGGTCTATACATATGTTGTACATAGTATGTTTTAGGTGCGTGTCATGTATGTGTTTCACTTTGAGAGCGGGCAACTAAATTTCATTTTTGATGTGTGCCGTTGTGCCCACAGTAAAAAAAAATGACAATAAAGCTTATCTTATCTTGTGGCTAGTGCCCTTACCTAACTACTCCTACTTCCAATCGATTATTATTCCAAGTTCAGATGCCACTGCCTTTCCTAAAACCTTCCAGAGTCTCTTTTCAGACATATCCAGAGTTAGCTCCTAGTCCAGATTCTGGGATCTAGAAATCACATTTCCTTTCCTTTCTTTTCCTCCTGCAGAGCGTCCGTTATCCTGGCTGGGTTGGGTTTCAGCGCAAAGATGCAGCAACAGACCACCAAGTAAGTGGGCTTTAGCCAAGACTGAATTTTTTCCCTTCTGTGATTTGAACTATGGGATCCTAGATTTTTTTTTTCTTTTTGATCTTGCCTACTGCTAGGTGCTGGGACAGAGGGGCGCTTCCAGAGATAGGAAGCTTGGTAGCTGTCCCTTCACATTACAATTGTGATAGAATTGGGGAAGTGAACTTGGCCATCTCTGACACCAACCCTTGAAAAATGTAAGGCGACCTTCCGTATCTACAGGCAAACTGGGGTCCGGCTGGCCCAGGGAAACTGACCTCTCCTTTATTCCTTCTCCTTAGAGAGTTTTCTGGAGGTTGGAGAATGAGGCTGGCTTTGGCTCGCGCCCTTTTCGCCCGGTGAGTCTCAAGGATCTCCGTTCCGCTCAAAATCCTTTTTTTCCGGAAAATTGGTCGATAGTAACAGTGGGGGAGTCAAAAGTCAGTTGAGGTCTTAAATCCCGATTAGCTTTGTTGAGGAAGGATCTAGAACAGGGGTGTCAAACTCAATTTCATTGAGGGCCGCATCAGCATTGCAGTTGCCCGCGAGGGGGTGGCCTACTGAGTGGGCGTGGATGGAGTGGGTGTGGCCTACTGGGTGGGCATGGCCAGTTCTACATCGTTCGCGTCAAGGGTGCCTGTGGGGGCCTGGGCAGGAGTGGGACAGATCTGAGGGTCTCTGGCAGAAGGGGGTGGGACCGGGGCAAGCGCCAAGGCATGGTGCATTTCTTCATTCCTCACAAAGGATGCACCCAGGGGGCGGGGCCAATGCGGCAGGGGCTGGTTCCTCGCTGTTTCTAGATGCCCTTGTGGAGCTAAGACTGAATGTGTTTCAGCATAGATGGCCACCACAAAATTGTACATTGGCTCCCGGCCGGCCTGGGCCAGGGCCAAGGCAGCGGGGGCCGTTCCCTCACTGTTTCCTGGATGGCTTCGCAGGCCACATGAAACCACTTCGCGGGCCGCATCCGGCCCCCGGGCCTTGTGTTTGACATGTCTAATCTAGAAACAGGCAAGGATACCCGACTGCGTGGGGGGGGGAGTTGAGAGTACTGGTAATCCTTGCCTTAGCAACCATTCGTTTAGCGACCGAAGTTACAAAGTCTTAAATACAGGCCAGTTGCCAAGCGCCCAAATTTTGATCGCGTGACCGTGGGAATACTGCAAAGGCCATGTCTGTGGAGATTCTCCGTCATCCAGGTCACGGTGGTCCCAAAGGTGCTTTTCAAGGAGGCAACTGGACTTCCTTTGTTTTTCCTTGAAGACGTTTCGCTTCTCATCCCAGAAGCTGCTTCAGCTCTGATTGAACGGCGGGAAATGGAAGGATTTATATTCCTAGCAGTCATCTGGTGGTTCATTCCTTGATTGATTTCAGCAGAGTTGAAGAAGCTTCTTGTATGAGAAGCCGAAACATCTTCAAAAAAAAATAAGGAAGTCCAGTTGCCTCGTGGAAAAAAAAAAAACATATTTGGGCCATACGTCACTTTTAGCAGCGCCGTTGTAACTTTGAACAGTCTCTAAACAAATGGTTGTAAGCCTAGGACTAACCTGCATGTGTTTTGTGCGCACAAAAGATACAGATCAGTTGGGGATAATTACAGTTTTTAAGTTTTTTCCAGAATTTAAAGGACAAAAAGAAAAAGAATGCTTCAATCAGGGAGCCCATTCTCCTGAGAAATTGGAAACTTTTATTTATATATATATATATATATATATATGGGGTGATTTGGAAAGGTCAGTAAGAAAGAGACATTAGTTTTGTGCTGCTGGATAAGACTGAAAGATTTTCTCACCGCAATGGAAAGCCCGTGTGTGTGTGTGTGTGTGTGTGTGTGTGTGTGTGTACGTACGAGTGTGTGTGTGTGTGTGTGTATCCTTAATGACTGCAAAAATCCGAATCCCGGGCATATCTGTTCAATAATATACAATCCTCGAACTCCGGGATGAATATATATCAGCTGTTTATTGTTAAAAAATTTAAAACAATAAAAGCAACTATTTACAATACTAAAACAAACTTAGCTTTTGCTGATCCACTGTCAGCGTCTTCAGAGTAAAGTGTTGTGGGTGGAGAGATCTCTTATAAACCTTGCTAACCTAGTTTCTTACTCATTGACCATCCTGGCCAACCGTAATTGCCTTAATTGTCCCACCTCCCCTTGTTTGCACTCCAATTCCACAACTTCTCTCCCTCCTCTCCTTGTCCATCTTCTCCTTCCTGGTGTTGTTACCGTTGGTATACACACACACACACACACACACACACACACATACATATGTACACACACACACACGGGCTTTTCATTGCAGTGAGAAAAATCTTTCAGTCTTATCCAGCAGCACAAAACTAATGTCTCTTTCTTAACTGACCTTTCCAAATCACCCCATTTTTCATTGACTATTATAATACATTCAGTTTTTTTTTAAAATGCTGCCCGTGTAATGAATTTTCTCAATTTAAAAGTTGGGCAGGTTTCCCCTCCCCCAAATTTTAGGTGTTCGCCTACAGAATTGGAAGCTAAGTCACTTGATTGTGAGATTGATCGGCCGTGTGTAAATTTAATAATTCAATATTAGAGCAGTGAAACCTTTTGCCAAGTTTTTGCACAATGGTGTAAAAATGCAGACTCGTATAAAAATTCCCGTTCTGAGCAGTTTTAAGAATTTCCCCCATCAGAGATAACTGGACTTGAATGGATTAGTGGTGATTGGCTTTCAGGGATAACGAAACTATTAAGAGAGCGCAGTTATTGCAGAGAAAGCTTGGTGAGAAATTTTCTATCAAAGCAATGCCAAAGTAGAATTTGTGATGGCTGCACTAATAATATTTCTGTCTCCCTTTCCTCTTCTGTTGATTTTAATTTTCCCAGGCCTGACCTTCTCCTGCTTGACGGTAAGTCTTTTCTGGACGTATGCAGACAGAAGGGAAGGGGTGTAAACCCCCTCAAAGAATTATCCAGGGAATACTGATGTAATCTTTTTCCCATCCGCTGGTGGATTGCTGATTTCCCAATTGCTCCGAGCCAGTGTTTCCAAATGGCTGTTACTTCGAATTCTGGGAAGTGAAGTCCACGCACTTCCAATGTTTGGAAGCTCCCTAGATTGGAAAACTTTGCTACAAAGTTTTGGCAAATGTATGAATATGACCCACCAGGATTTGTGGCTAATTTTCTTGCAGTTGTCAGAGTTATATGGCATCTCTTGTCACAAGCTGGCCAAAAATGTTAAGCCTCTATTGTAAGGGATAACTTTGAAGATTTAATTGATTAATCAGAAAACAGGTGGAAGTAACCTTGAAGGTTGAATAGCCCTGGACTAGAAGACCTTCAAGGTTACTTCCACTCCTTAACTTTCTTTTCTAGCCAGTAGCTAATTCTTAAAGGGGAATATGCCTCTTTAAGCTAGTTCACTCAGCAGCTTGTCTTTTCCGTCTCTGGAGGCTTTTCCTTGTTTGATGAATATATGGAAGAGAGAAAATGGGGGGGGGGGGGTTCAAATTCTTCCTTCAGAAGGAGATGGGAATGAGAAAGAGGGAGGCAGGGAAGGAGGGAGGAAAGGAAGTCCCGCCTTAGCACTTGGCCACCAGCAGCCCTGCCATTGACTTTGCTTGTCAAAGGGTTGCAAAAGGGGATCACATGACCCTGGGCCACTGGGACCATCCTAAATATGAATCAGTTGCCAAGCATCCAAATATAAATCACATGACCCTAGGCACGCTGCAATGGTCATAAGTGTGAAAAATGGTCATAAGTCATTTCAGTGCAATTGCAACTTTGAACAGGTTTTTTGTTTTTTTTGTTTTTTGGTCATCAAGTTTTTGACACCTTGCTAGGTGGTCCTCGAATATTGCCATCTCTTAAAAGTGGTACAGTCGGTGAAAAGGTTGAAAAGCCCTGTTCTAGTCCAACCCTCTGCTCAAGCAGGAGACCCTATACCAGGGGTAGGCAACCTTGGCTCTTTTATGACTTGTGGACTTCAACTCCCAGAATTCCTGAGCCAGCATGCCTCAGCATGGAAACCTCTCCCTTTCCCCTCAGCATGGCTGGCTCAGGAATTCTGGGAGTTGAAGTCCACGAGTCATAAAAGAGCCAAGGTGGCCTACCCCTGTCCTATACCATTTGAGACAAGTGGCTGTCCAGTCTCTTCTTAAAAATCTCCAGTGATGAAGCACCCACAACTTCTGAAGGCAGACTGTTCCACCAATTAATTGTCTTCACTGTCAGGAAGTTTCTCCTTAATTCCAGGTTGCTTCTCTGCTTGATTAGTTTCCGTCCATTGTTTCTTGTCCTGCCCTCAGGTGCTTTGGAGAATAGGGTGACCCCCTTTGTGACAGCTTCTCAAATACTGGAATATTGCTATCATGTCCCACCTAGTCCTTCTTCTCATTTAAGCCTTGCTGAGGCACCCTTGTAACAAAGTAACCCGCCACCCCAAAATCAGCTTAAATTGGGGAAAAAGGTTAAAGAGAAAAAATGGATTCCTAAGTCTTTGCAAGATTTTAGGTCCCCATTTCATCAGGCAAAGCCTTATCAGCGTCCACCAAAAAGTGTTAGCTCTCCTTAAACTATTTCACAAGTGTTACATAGGAGCTGTGCTAAATTAACTCATTTTCTTTGTTTGGTTTTAATCCTGTTCTGGCCATATTAGAACTGTTGAGGCATCGTTTCTTCATGCTGTTTAATTCAAAATTTGGCCATTGCATCATGAACATTTACCATTTGGTTAGTGATCGTTGGAAGTTACAATGGCACTGAAAAAGTTACTTATGATCCTTTTTTCACACTTAACAACCCTTGCACGGTCGTCACATGATCAAGATTCCGACGCTTGGCAACTGACTCACATTTACGACGGTTGCAGTGTTCTGGGGTCACGTGATCCCCTTTTGCAACCTTCTAACAAGTGAAGTCAATGCGGGAACCAGACTCGCCTTAGCCATCGTGATACACCTCTGGCAGGAAAAGGTTGTAAAATGGGGCCAAAGTCACTGAACAACTGTCTTGCTCAGCAAGGGAAACGTTGGGCTCGATTGTGGTCGTACGTTGAGGACTGCCGATGTCTCTTTCCCTGTGAATTTTTGCCCAAAGACACTGTGTGCTTAACGGCCTTCTTTCAATTCGCTTCCAGAGCCAACCAACATGCTGGATGTGAGGGCAATCATCTGGCTGGAAAACTATTTGCAGGTCTGTCCAAAATTTGGAATATAAGTACTTCTATTTCTACTGGACTTTGTGCTTGAGGTGGAAAAGCAAAATGAAGCTTTGATTTTGGGCTTTACTGATTAGATTGATTTGTTGTTATACAAATGGCTAGTTTATTACCATTATGGAAAAGTGAAAAGTTGAGGTTCGACGTTAATGCTTTATTCTACTGCAACAGAGGGAATCGGAAGTCAGTGCCTTTGCTTTTCCATCTCCTCACTTTTCTTTCCCTTTTTCCTCCCCACTGTGTCCTACTCTTTGCTTTTGCATTTTTGTATTTTATTCTATAATTTAATAAAACGTTACAAACTGCAAAATTCGGAAAGCCATCCAAAATTTATTCTATAATTTAATAAAACGTTACAAACTGCAAAATTTGGAAAGCCATCCAGGGTGGAGGGGGACGACGACAAGGGACTAAACACTTAAAGAGCTTGGGACTTTTAGATCAAGGCCTTCATCCTGCCCCCTCTCCATCTGGGCCCTTCTAGACTTGGCAGTCCACCATCCTCGTCGTGTCTCACGATCGGAACTTCTTAAACGCCGTGGCCACCGACGTCATCCACCTGCACTCGCAGCGGCTTGACTGCTACCGTGGGGACTTCGAGAACTTTGTCAAGATCAAGGAAGAACGGCTGAAAAACCAGCAGCGCGAATACGAGGCGCAGCAGCAATACCGGGAGCATATCCAGGTCAGAGAGCGGAGCGGTTAGCCGTGGGGCTGATGCTGATCCAGCAGTGCCCTATAAAATAGGATAGGGTGCATGCCATATGATGTGATATATTGTATATGAGCGATGGTATGGTGTGGTATGGTATGGTATGAACCATTCTTTAAAATAAAGTATTTTTAAGCTGGGTACCAGACAAAAGTGGGACTGCGTCTTCTCAAACGCTTCCCTCTATGTAGTATTATGCTAAATTACTGTAGCCAGCTAAATTACTTATTTATTCCCTTAAATTTACGAGTCACCCACCTCGCACAGAGCAGCTTACGAACATCGAAACTTTATTAATCTTCTTCCTATTTTCTCCACAACAACAGTCCTGTTTGATGGGTTGGGCCGAGAGAGAATGCCACCCAGCCAGCTTTCATGGTTAAGGCAGGACTTGAACTCACAGTCTCCTGCTTTCTAGTCTGGTGCCTTAACCACCGGACCAAACTGGATCTCTTATGACAAATTAAGTTCTAAGTCTCCATAAGATATCAAAGAGACTTCTGCCGTTCTTTTTTCATTCCATTTCAGCTTTATTCCTAGAGTAGACCAAAATCTTAGATTTTTTTTTCTGCACCCAGCAATAAGAACATTATAAATAATATTTTGAAAATTATAGACACAGAAATATACCTTCTTCAGCCTCCACTGTATATCATCCTAATGCTTTGTTTGGCTATCAGAAAGGGACGGAATATCTGAATCCTTTCTTATTCTCACTTCAGGGTGTTCAGTTTTGAAAAATCCTTCTGTTCCAAACCTCTGTGGCACACTCACATAAATAAACTAGCTTGGATCATTGCCTCAGACTTCATCTGCCAGACTGTGTCTCTGCAGCAGCTGATGATGCATCCTTCTGCATAAGGGAATGAGCTCTGCTTTTCTCCCACAGGTCTTTATCGATCGATTTCGCTATAATGCAAACAGGGCGTCTCAAGTTCAGAGCAAGCTCAAACTGTTGGAGAAGCTGTGAGTATCCAAAAGAAAATGGACCGTCTGGGTGGATTGCCTAGGCCAGGGGTAGGCAACCTTGGCTCTTTTATGACTCGTGGACTTCAACTCCCAGAATTCCTGAGCCAACATGAGGGAACTATGGCCCCCTCATGACTCGTGGACTTCAATTCCCAGAATTCCTGAGCCAGCATGAGGGAACTATGGCCCCCTCATGACTCGTGGACGTCAACCCTCAGAATTCCTGAGCCAGCATGAGGGAACTATGGCCCCCTCATGACTCGTGGACTTCAACTCCCAGAATTCCTGAGCCAGCATGGCTCAGCTTGGAAACCTCTCCCTTTCCCCTCAGCATGGCTGGCTCAGGAATTCTGGGAGTTGAAGTCCACGAGTCATAAAAGAGCCAAGGTTGCCTACCCCTGGACTAGGTCTATTTAAGAATTGATCATTTCAGGATCTACCGACTGAGGAGCTGATTTAGAACAGTTTCTTAAATGGCGGTGCACGGCCCGCTCATGGCATACAGCATTAGTTCTCAAAATGTATAAACTACAGTAATATTTTGCACTAATTAGTTCTCATGCTTTGGATATATTTCTTGGATAGGGAAAGATTGCTCCTTGACACATTTCAGCCCCCAGTTATCTCTCAATCGTTGTATTATCATTAGAGCAGTAAACAATGTTATCAACAGTATTAATGCAAAGGCTTTTATCTCTTTAAAGCAGGGCTCTCCAAATTTGGCAACTTTAAGACTTGTGGACTTCAACTCCCAGAATTCCTCAGGCTGGTAGGGGAATTCTGGGCGTTAAAGTCCACCAGTCTTAAAGTGGCTGAGGAATTCTGGGAGTTGAAGTCCTTAAGTCTTAAAGTTGTCAAGTTTGGAGAGTCTTGCTTTAAACCTTACCATCACTGAAAAATATATCAACAGGGTGTTTGTAGAAATGGAAAAACATGAGCTGCTTGCTTCATTTTGAGGAAAACCTGATTTTACGTTCCACAACCACTGTCAAAGAATGAAAAAATATATATATAGGGATTTCTGATTCAAAAAAACTAGAAATAGCTAATTGGTTGGTTTTAGCCCAATAATTTCTCTTTATATCTCTTCCTCTCGTCTCCACTGTTAGGGGGTTTGAAATTTTTTTTAGAAAATTCTAGTCTCCCATAAAAGATGAAATAAAGACCAGCTCAGAGGATCGTATTAAATAATTTTCATACTGAACCGAGGGAAATTGGTGAACTCTTTTTTTCTGTTTTTGAAATCTTCTACACTTAAAGGACAGAATTAAAAAATAATAATAACTTGTGAAGGAAAATAAGCTCTTTTTTAAAAAAAATAACCAAAATCCAGTGAATATAGTAGTTCTTAAGGGCTCAGTCCCAAGAATTTATCTGCTTCCAAGTGGCTGCTTAGTGATTGGATATTTGATAACCTATCTTTTACTACAACAAGACTGATTGGTCTCTTTCTTTCTCTCAGGCCAAAACTGAAGGCAGTGGACAAAGAATCTGAGGTGATAATGAAGTAAGTAAATCGTGATGGGCCCAAAGAAGCCCAGTTTTCTAGTTTTTCATAAGAAAAGAAGGGCAGATGTCTTCTTACTCACCTGCCTGCTTTCTCAGACTCAGTCCAGATAGTCCTGACTTAGCAACCACTCATTCAACAACAGTTGCAACTGTGCTAAGTGAGTGCACCTTATAACCAGTCTTGAAAGTTCTGGCCCTTGCATCATCCTGCAGTCACGTGATCGCCATTTGGCTGGGGAATTCTGGGAGTTAAAGTTCCATGCCCCTTAAAATGACTGAGGTTGAGAAATCCTGCCTTAGGCTCACCCAAGCTCTGCACTTGATTTGCAAGACAGCAATGGTAAGGTTGGCCTGTCCTGGGTGGATTTTATAAGGACTGAATCAAGCTACTTCATTATTTAATAAGTCAGCATCCCAGGTTTTCTTCATTCAGCAAAGTCTATTTTTCCAAGCCAGTCTCCCATCTAGGTATTGTAGGGTTGTGCAGCTTCAACAAAATAGCAGTATTATGCACCTTAGGCCATACCTCTAAAAAGATGTGGAAACTCTAGAAAGAGTACAGAGAAGAGCAACAAAGATGATCAGGGAACTGGAGGCTAAAACATATAAGGAACGGTTGCTAGAATTGGGTATGTCTAGTCTACTGAAGAGAAGGACGAGGGGGGACATGATAGCAGTGTTCCAATATCTCAGGGGCTGCCCCAAAGAACAGGGAGTCAAGCTGTTCTCCAAAGCGCCTGAAGGCAGGACAAAAAGCAATGGATGGGAAAACTCATCAAGGAGAGAAGCAACCTAGAACTAAGGAGAAACTTCCTGACAGAACAATTAACCAGTGGAACAACCTGCCTCCAAAAGCGTTGAATGCGCCAACACTGTAGGTTTTTAAGAAGAGACTGGACAGCCATTTGCCTGAAATGGTGTATGGTTTTCTGCCTGAGCAGGAGGTTGGACTAGATGACCTCCAAGATCCCTTCCAACTTTTTTATTATTATTACTAGCTGTACCCAGCCACGCGTTGCTGTGGCTCAGTCTGGTTAAATGGAAAAGAAAGAAAAGAGAAAGCGCACGTTTGTAATATGTTTAATTTCACAATGCTTGTGGGTATACAATATTTTTTGTTGTTCCATTGTCTGTGCATCAATTCCAACGCAATGTCACACGAAATAATGAAATCAAAATGAAAATAAATCAAAATCTATGAAAATTCAATTTAACAATGCAATCGGAAACATTGAAATGGAATCGTAAAATTGGAAATTTGGAAATCGTAAATGGATCGTAAATCGGAAACATTGAAATGGAATAGTAAAATCGTAGCGTGTGTTGCTTTTACGTCTAACAGATGGCGCTGTTTTTTTAAAAAACATGTTTTTACCTGTCACAGGTGTGACATCTATATAATAGGTATATAAAAACACGCACGTATTCGAATGCAACGTTGTGTCAAAATTTCAAAGCCATCGGTGAACGTTCGGAGATTTAAGATTTTGAACAAACGAACATTTACGTTTTTATTTATATAGATTATTATTACTATTATTATTATTATTATTATTATTATTATTATTATTATTATTATTATTATTATATCTGCAATGTATACTGATAATTACATTAAAAATAACACTATATAATGCAAGTGCTATGTATTCCTATCACAATGTGTTCTGCATAAGGCAAAATTAATGCAAAACTGATTCTCCTGATCTAACAGAAGCAATGAGGGTCCCTTTTGGCCACTTCCATTTTTGCTTATTCCCCTGGCGTTTTTTTTTTTTCTCTTTCCCCCTCCTTCGTAGGTTCCCAGATGGCTTTGAGAAGTTTTCTCCTCCCATCTTACAGCTTGATGAAGTGGACTTTTACTATGAACCCAATAACCCTATCTTCTGCTCCCTGTCTGTCTCCGCTGACCTGGACTCTCGCATCTGTGTGGTAAGATGAAATCTTTGGCAAAAAGGTTAATTATGTGGAAATGATAAAGCATTCGCTATCACAAGCACACCAAAATCCAGGAGCTCAGCAATTGTTTTGTCTCCGTGGAAAGACCAAGAAAAAAAAGAAAGAAAGAAATGCTACAAGAGTTTTTAACAGAAGGACCTAATAAGAGCTAAGAGCTGTGGTTGCACAGTGGTTAAAAAGCAGTATTTCAAGCTGACTCTGCCCAATGCCACCAGTTCAATCCGGACCAGCTCAAGGTTGACTTAGCTTTCCATCCTTCTGAGGTCAGTAAAATGAGGAACCCATATTGCTGACTCTGTAAACTGCTTAGAAAGGGCTGTAAAGCACTGTGAAGCAGTATATAATTCTAAATTTAATAAAACTAAACTAAACTATTGCTGCTGCTCTTAACCAGCTCAGCAGAAATATTTCTGCTCTGCATGCATACGACATGCTTAACCTGGTTACTGAATTAACCCATTTTTGGAGTAGCACTGTTCAGTGAGCATAAATAAGCCAACAGGTAAGTTTATGTAATAGACAAAAAAGATAAACTCTATCCAAGTTTCGTAGGGCGTGCAATTGAAGCTCCTAGCTCTTTAATGGACTCCCATAAAGACTGCACACACACAGATTAAGATAGTGGTGGCGAACCTATGGCACGGGTGCCAGAGGCGGCACTCTGAGCCCTCTCTGTGGGCACGCGCGCCGTTGCCCCAGTCCTAGGCCTTCAGCTGGGTTTTATAAAACCTTTTCGCTTTAGGCCTCCGCCGCCGTGTGCAAAAAAAAAAAAGGTTCAATCAGTCAATTTCAACTTCTCGCGGGGAAAAAAAAAGATCTTGCAAAGTTGGAATTGATTGATTGAAATTTTTAGTCCCACCCAGTCTGCCGTTACCACCGCAGCCACGCCCACCCAATGGGCCACGCCCACCCAGCACCCGATGATGCATAAGTGGGTTTTGGGTTGCAGTTTGGGCACTCGGTCTCTAAAAGGTTTGCCATCACTGGGCTATAGGTCGATATGCACACATCAGAGTACGATTGCTCCTGTTTCTCTGAGTTCTAGAATCCTTAAATAAGAGTTCGGGAAGACCTTTTTTGTAACGTATACGTTGTTTACTCCTAGGTTGGAGAGAACGGAGCCGGCAAATCTACCATGCTGAAGATCCTGATGGGAGACCTGGCCCCTGTGCAAGGGATTAGGCATGCTCACAGGTAGCTTTCAAACCAAAAAGGGAACCTCACGGAGATAGTGGTGGAAGGGGAAGGAGAGTACAGCAATGTAGAAAATGGCTGGCTTGTTGCTAAGTAATGCAGCGTAGCCTAGATTCCCGAGGTACCGGTGTTGTTTTGAGTTGCTTTCCATGTACTTTGGAGATAGTTTTTTAACCTCTCTGCAAAGATGGGGAAGCTTTGGCTAACCTCTCAGAACGCTGGACTAGAGCAGGGGTCTCGAATTCACAGGCTAAAGGCCACATGCGCCCCGTGGTGTGCGGCTATGCTCCACTTTAAAGCAGCATCGCAGTTCTGGTCAAGACCTATCAGTTCAATAGCTGAACAAAGCTATGTTTTCCTTTATCCTGCGGCTCCTTCCTTCACTGGAGGAGGTGTGTGTGCTACCCTTAGCTTGTCAACGTTAGCTGGGAGATAAAACAGCCACTGCAGCTTCCTATCTCTACCCTTCTTTCCTGCATGGCTGGCTGGGAAATTCTGGGAGTTGAAGTCCATCCATCTTAAAATTGCCAAACTGCTGCTCTTAAGGGCTGCAGCACACAAGGCCCTGAGCAGTAGCAGCCCTGTCTCCTCCTGTTCCCTTCCTATGTCGGAGGGAAACTACCAGGAGGGAAGACTGATCTTGAAAAAGACACAGCCCTTTTGCTGTTGTCAAGTGATCCTGGGGGGGGGGGGAGAATGTGGATTCCTTGCAGTGTTATAGATTAGATAACGATGTCAGCACAACCTGTGCAGGAGAGTCCCTGTTTGGGATTGATCCCGAAATGTTCCACAGCCCTGATAGAAGAGCAATCAGATATGCCTCTTTAAGCAACAGAGGCGAGGATCATGTTATCCTCCTTATTCTCTCCTTATCAGGCAGGAAAACATATTTATCTTGCAAAAGAGTGAGTTATTCCTTTGGCTAACTGTTTTTTCAATAATCCGCCATTTTAAGCTCTGGTTGTAAACAATGGTTTCTTCCTGCCTGGCAGAAATCTTAAAATTGGCTATTTCAGCCAGCATCACGTCGATCAGCTGGATTTGGACATTAGTGCCACCGAATTACTAGCAAAAAAGTTTCCAGGTAAGTTGCCACGTGGCCCCCCTGGCGATTTGTTTGATTTCAGCTCTCGCGGTCTCGTGGCCCTCGTACTTAACGATCAGAAGAAACTTAAAAGCCCTTTTCCCTGCCCTGCTCTGTTTACTGAACACTGAAGACGGTGAGTTATAACCTCATGCTAAGACATGGCTTTAATCCTGAGTTTATTGGCAAGGGTTCCGGGAACATGTTAAGCCAGCAGCAGCTTTTTATCCATCAGTAGTAGTAGTAGTAGTAGTAGTAGTAGTAGTAGTAGTAGTAAATAATAATAATAATAATAATAATAATAATAATAATAATAATAATAAAGTTGGAAGGGACCTTGGAGGTCATCTAGTCCAGCCCCCTGCTCAGGCAGGAAACCCTATACTATTTCGGACAAATGGCTGTCCAGTCTCTTCTTAAAAACTTCCAGTGTTGGAGCATTCACCGCTTCTGGAGGCAGGTTGTTCCACTGGTTAATTGTTCTAACTGTCAGGAAGTTTCTCCTTAGTTGTAGGTTGCTTCTCTCCTTGATTAGTTTCCATCCGTTGCTTCTTGTCCTGCCTTCAGGCGCTTTGGAGAATAGCTTGACTCCCTCTTCTTTGTGGCAGCCCCTGAGATATTGGAACACTGCTATCCTGTCCCCCCTCGTCCTTCTCTTCGTTAAACTAGACATACCCAATTCCAGCAACCGTTCCTTATGTGCTTTAGCCTCCAGTCCCCTAATCATCTTTGTTGCTCTTCTCTGCACTCTTTCTAGGGCCACACTGGATTGTGTCTGGCCTGTCAGAAGGCACTGATGTTATGGCATTGGTCTTAAGGCACCCATTTTTCCTCTTCCCATCTCTTAACACAGAAAAGGGGGTGGGGGTATTACTATGCTTTTGGCTCATCTATTCTCATTGAGACTGAGAGGGCAGAGAAAGTGTGCTGGTGGGCTTTATAGGCCCCTGGTCCCACTTTCTGCATCTCCTTAAATAAGCCACAAATCATGGTCTATCAGCCACCGTGGCTGAATTCGTACCATTGCGAATAAATTGGCCCATTAGAGTTTGCAAACCAATAGAGAGTATCCATAGCTCTGGTTTGAACCGTGGAGCCTATGGTGAAAACAATAGCCTAAACTAGACATTAACAAGAAAATCATGCCCTATCAACACAGGGAGGACAAGCTACTGTATATAAACAGGGAGCAAACCCCATACTCCCCAGCATTGATGATGCTGCCAAGTCAGGTGACGAAACGTTGGCAAGCAAACAGTCAATCTCAGAGAGCGCCAAGGTCTCCACAGTTTCTAAGCCATGGTGGTGTGAGAGAAGCAACCTAGAACTAAGGAGAAACTTCCTGACAGTTAGAACAATTAACCAGTGGGACAACCTGCCTCCAGAAGTGGTGAATGCTCCAACACTGGAGGTTTTTAAGAAGAGACTGGACAGCCATTTGTCTGAAATGGTATAGGGTTTCCTGCCTGAGCAGGAGGTTGGACTAGATGACCTCCAAGGTCCCTTCCAACTTTA